AATAATAATAATAATAATAATAATAATAATAATAATAATAATAATAATAATAATAATAGTAATAATAATAACAATAACAATAACAATAACAATAATAATAATAATAAAGGTAATAATAAAATTAAATAAATAAATAAGTATAATTATATTATTATGCATTTAACAGTAATAGCTGGAATAATTAAGGCTATTTTAAAACTATTATATAATTTAGTTAAAAAGTATGGGAAAAATTTTTTCCTTTTTTCTCTTTTCAATTCCTAACATAAATTGTAATCAAAATAGATGCCATGAAGGGACGGGTCAAATGATTGACAAGAGAGAGAGAGAGAGAGAGAGTAAGGCGAAAGAAAAGTATCAGTAATGAAATCATGCTTGCCATTACGTAGACATTTTAGCAAGTGAAAAAAAGGCAAGAGGTACTTTAACCTTTCAAACAACAAATATCCTTTTTATTTGTTGTTTGTTGTTTATTGTTTGCTGTTTATTATTTACTGTTTATTGTTTGTTGTTTATTGTTCGCTATGGTTTACTGTTTGCCGTTGTTTATTGTTCGTTGTTGTTTATTATCTATTGCTTACTGTTGCTATATGAAAAATATAGTATTTGGTCCATACAAACTATAAAAAATTCAAAAATTACTTCTCTATTATAAAAGAAATGATTATAAATGACATTATTCAAATTTGAAGATTTGAAATGGTCGTTGACTCATTTTAAAATTAATTTTAAAATAATTTGAAAGAACCGGAAAGAAAAAATAACGATTTGCTATGAGTAAAAGAATTACCTGAGTGAAGAAAAAGGGAATTTTATGCAATTGTAGAATTTTTCGGATTTTTGGAATTTTTGTTTAAACTTTTAAAACGTTCACTTGATGTTATCCTTTTTGTTATAGTAGAAAAGAAGAAAAATCAAACAAATAAACATTGTAATGATGTGATCTTTGCTAATGTTTGTTGTAATGATAGGATTTAAAAAGAAAAAAAAATGATGAAATGTTTAGTTTCTAAAAAAAAAAAAAAAGAAAAAACATACACACATAAACACACACGTGATAAGGAAAAGTGATATGGAAAAAAAAAAGGAAAAGGAAGAGAAAGAAATAAAACAATTAAATATTATTATTTTTTGGTTTGGAAAATCTTTTCTTTAAAATTTTAAAAAATTTGATCGTTTTCTCTTTTGTTTTCAATTTACTATCTTTGACAATTACCAGAGGAAAAGTTCGAAGTTTGTGTAGTATGAAAATATATAATTAATATTTTGTTTTTTATAGATTTCAAGTATTTTCACAACAAATTTCATAAAAATTCATTAAAAAGTTTCCAAAAAAGTTTTATAAAAGATTTCAAAGAAATTTCATTGGAAAAAAATATATTATCTTGTTTAGCATTAATTACATTTACAGATGAGAAAGAAAAGTAGGAGTGAAAGAGAGAGAGACAGGGGGAGAGAAAAAAATAGGAAAAAGATTAAATTTTTTAAATGATTTGAGAAAAATGCGATAAAGAGATACAAAGGTAGATAAGAGAAGTAAAAGAAACATATTGTAGTTATATTGTCCTTTACGATCACTTCTAAGTAGAAATTCCGGGAAAGGTTAGATGAAAATTCCGGAATGGAAAATATATAAATGTCCTGGAGTTTCTTTATACTAAAATATAATTGGCAATATGCCTTAACAAGAAAACAAAAAGGAAAGGTGAAATGAAATCGGAAGAAAAGTAGGAAGGTAAGCTAATTAAAATTTAAAAAAAAGTGGATATTGTTTAATCGTTTTTTTTTTGTATTTCACGGCTAAGTGATTCTTTTAATTTTTTTCTTTTTGTTTTTTTAACATATAAAATCCAATGGGTGATATTGTCGTCTTTTCCTTCAAATAGCTATATTAAAATTTCTTTTCGCTTTTTTACTAATTAACTCTGCTCCTAATTATTTGTTGAATTTCTGAAATGACAAATGGAAAAAGAAGCGTTATTGATTGGATTCAAATTACAGTTAGGTTCTAATAATCTCTCCTGAATCAGAAACATTCCCAAGCATAATTAATCGGCTAGGAGATGATATGAGAGTTAATCATTTACTTAAATGGAAAAGTTTCCCAAAGTTCATTTCTCTCCTGAAAAACTGAAGTACCATGAAGGAGAAAATGCTAAGATTATCTTTACGTTCAAAAAAGTGTTTTAACATGAAAGGAAACGAGAGAAAGAGAAGGAGAGGGGGAGAAAGAAAGAGAAGCAATGGAAATAATTCATTGGCAAAAAAGGAAGTTAACATCCAAAACAATGATAGAGAAATGCTTTAAAAGAGGAAGAGAGAGAGCTTGAAAAATTAATAGTACTTCATTTACAAAAATTTTTAAGGAGAAAATTTGAATAACTTTGTTTTTCCCTTACTCTTTTTTCCTCTTCCCTTTATCATTCCTTTATTTTTCCCTTACTTTTCTTCCCTCTCTCTCTCTCTCTCTCTCTCCTTCCTCTCTTC